CTCTATCATTTTTAGCGGTTTTTAGAATTTTCATATGCGCCAAAATTTCGAACATAGAACTTTTGAAAACGTGGGCTTTGTTGAGATGAATTTTTAACACTTATTCTAGTGTAGTTGACACGTTCCGAGCCACGTGTACCACGTGTATATGCTTCATGTTTATTGAATGCGCTAAAGAAATATTTTATAAGAAATTTAGAACTGAAGAATTAATTTCCACCATAAGAATGGGTCGTAGTAAGTTCGCTTCATTGTTATATATACGATGATTGATCAAGTTATAGTAAAATTTTAGTAAAATATCAGATGGTCAGTGTGAAGAGTCGAATAAAAATCGGCACGGAACGTGTTAATAGCTGTGCACATTTCAATGGACAACTTGACTGACCTTGCTTTGAGGACATCGATCAATTCAGATTTTTAACGTTCAGGAAACTGGAATGTGATTTTTGATATAATAGTATTACTACTCGACTGCAATTTTAATGAGGAAATTAATAGAGAGACTGCACTTTGAAGTATCTATAGCTTTTCTTGAAAAATTCGACGCGCTCTGAGGGTGTTAATCGATTTAGCCCTTTAAACCCTTGCGGCGTGTACGATACCTCGTGACATTCATTACAAGATTCAGCACATGATTCATCAAACACGAATGTTACTCACTTCTTCTAAATCGAAATCAAATTGAATGTATCTCTTGTCAATATTTGACAACAACAATTAATGTAGCCGTACGATAAATGCTCTTTTCTGTATAGAAATTTGTTATCGACGAAGAACTGTAGACGCTTTCAGCGCCGACAATCAATCACTAAAATTCCCACAAAGTCAATGCAATTTAATTAATCAAACCGAAACTAGAAAGTTAAAGTTTATCATAGTGAATGACATTAGAGCTCTCTCGCATTCGAAACATCCTAGCCAAATTCAGTTCGTTCGAATACATTACAACGAAAATGAATGTTCAAAATTGGTAAAAAATTAGTGTCATCCGTATTTGACGGACGCGGCACTCAACGTATTAATCAACGTGGATGAAATCATAGTGCGAGGGATTAAGATCGTGAGACTCGCGGGAACATGATTCTAAAGAAGATTATGCACTTAACACTGAACCTATTAAGCCTATTCAAATGATCACATATCTAATTTCACAATTGTTAAAATGATGCGAACTCATTCTCTAGAGAATGATTAATCAAACTTCTTAATTCGAGTACTTCGTAACAAAAATTGCGACAGGTCTAAATGAATGCAATATCGTTGAAGCGACACACGTTAGTTATTTTCAGAGATTGCTAGGTTTCTCATCAGTGTCGGTACAGAATGTAGACATTACCTCTAAATAGAAACGCGAATTCTCCTTTTGGGACCTCTGTAGCTATTAATTAAGAGTACGGTGTAACTGCGAGACCCAAGAACAAGCGGTCCATTCAGCGATCGGAGTGCATCTGGCCAAGCCAGCGAAACGGAGCGGATTATTTTCGAAGCGTATCGAATGCGCTATTCAGGGCACAATATTCCCGTAACGCAGCAGCGGTGCCTGTATTTCGGCGAGTGGCACCTTCGCTTTCAAAATATCGACGTGTTAAAACCGTGTGGCCAGAAACGCGGGCGCCGATGGTCGAGTTTTCCATTTGCTCGGTCGGTTCTCGTCTTGACACGTCGTTTCACGTGTTCCTCCTGTGCACTCTCCTACATGCACAGGTACTACATACGTGGAAACGGCACGTACGTGTCTATTATAAACGCGCACACGTACACAAACCCGGCGAATGCCCGCGCACATTTAGGCTCACGGAATTACGAGGCAGAAAGAGATAGAGTGGGTTGTATTGATCTCGAGGATTCAACAAACAGCACCTACTCTGCCTCCACCCGCTCTCCTTTCCTATCCAACTTCGCCTTACTCTTCAACCCTCTGTCTCCCTCTCTTTCTCTTTCTCTTTCTCTTTCCCCGTCTCTCGCTCTCGTTTCCTCCATGTATTCCGTACCATTCGATTCCGCTCGTGGATAAAGTTTGATGAGGGCAACCCTCCGCGATAGTTCCGCCCCGTCTCATTGTCGGGTATAGATTGCCGTTGATCATTACTACTTTCCGTCTAATGCCCTTTCGACTCGCGCAACTAACCCCATCGCATTTTATTTTCAACTTACACGCGTGACAGGGATAAATAAATAAATTTTAGT